ACTGAAACGTGAATATACCGCCATGGGTTACAGAGAACTAAGGAAAAGCTCTAACACGAAGAGAAGCAGCTTGGAGGAGACAGGGACTCTGCGCAGTAAAGCAAACTTTTAAAATATGCAGAGAGAGTTTTGAAAAAAATCGGAGAAGAGGAATCAGGAAAAGATAGTATGAAAACAGATAGAGAACTAAGAGGAATCTCGGATTTGTCTCCAGATTGCTTTTTTTCCCTCCCTTTGAAGAAGGACAAGTTGTTTAAGTAAATGGGAGTGTCTCATAGTTTACAACTTGAACGGGAATGACATTTACACATCAAAATAGTTTAAACACTAACATTGATCAAACCAAAATTATACTATCACTGTTTGGGAAGAAGAAATGAGAAGAATACAGGTGTCCAATGGGGCAGGGAGGAGGAGCAAGACTGCAACCCTTGTCTTTTATGGTGGAGAGTATTAATAGAAAATGCCAAAAAGTGAACAGATTTGTTTAAAGAAGGGCTAATAGGAGCATATTGTGGCCACATGGTCATAAATACCAAAATAACAACTGCATACACTAAAAGAAGTAACTTGAAGAACTGCTGTTTTTATTATTATTTTTAATGAACCTTAGAGAATGTTTCTAAACTACACACTGTATGAGTAACTTTGATAAAAATAAACAAAAGTTAATATCACCGTCATTCAGGAGTCAGCCTCACTTGTGTAAAAGTAGAATTCTCAAATGGTTAAGAATATCATCTTATGTAATTAATAGATAGTGAGCACATTTCAAAGTTTTATTCATTGAAGTGTGGAGAAAGCCGACTGAAGAAAGAGCTGGTTCAAAATCATTTAGGAGTCTTGAGTTTTGGGAGAGAGATGCTTATATAAAATTGTCCTTAAATATAAGACAAGTATAATTTCCACACAGCAATAAAACTATAACCTTTAGCAAACCAGCAAATATCACACGTTATCATTTTTCTACAAGTTAACTTGTGACTTTGCAGGGCTATAATATTTCTGCTGTCTAGTCAGTGGTGGATGCTTTATCAAACAAAATTGCATTTCCCAAGAGAGTAAGAGGACCCCCCCACACACACACACACACACACATGGGCTTATCAGAGTTGCTCTATTAAAAAAATCATGCAGTTCGCTTTATTTCTAAGTTCTGGATCTTTTTCCTGAACACTTGCCATATATATGACTTTAAAAATAAACACATGAAACAATGTTAGTAAGTTCTAACAAGATGCTTTTGTCTACTACTGCTCTGACCCGAGAACTTCCCTCTGTGAAAAAGGAGTTTTATATTAACTACAGAAGTATTAAAGACATATTAGCACCAGAGGGAGATTTTTCTACTTGGTAGCATCAGAAAGGTTGAAAGAAAAATGAAAAAAGGGGACGCCTTTCTCATAATTTGATTCAATGTTGTGAAACGCCATGTCTGTGTATTATTACTTAAAATCATCTCATATATGGTATGCTCTGTGATTATTCTGGAAATACTGTGGGAAATCAGTAGTTTTTAATTGCATTCTACAAAGTCCTAGGGCTGGCATAGAGCCTGGGGTGAGCCAGGTAGACAGGGGTTGACCCCCCCCACCCCCACCCCACTTTCAGCTCTCACTCTACTTTGTTATATGTCGGGCTTATGCATAAGATTTCATTTAAAGAAAGGATTCCATGTTCCTTCCCGGTATCACAGTCTATAATTATTGAGAGAGAAAAAATCGCTACTATTTGCAGTGTGTTTAGGTTGGATGGATTAATTTCTTTGCCAGGGCATAATGGAAAGACTGACTTTGTCATTTCAATTACAAGCCACCATTTAGTTTGAGCCCGGAAGACACTTTCCTAGAGATTCCCTCCACTCGCCTGGCACGGGAGCAATTAACAGTGGGTGATTTGTGGCTGCATTTTTACTGCTTAGCACAGGTTTATCATCTTGAAAGTTTTCCATTTGCATATACACTATACATTCTTTGGGTGACATCTCGATACCATCCAGAGTTTAGATTATGCATTGCCTTTTACTGCACTGTCTTCTACGTGCTGGGAATCTGCAAGCTTGGGCAGAGTGCTGCTGCAGACCAAGGGGAATATGAGTTGCAGCCACCGCTTACTGAGGGCCTACTGTGTTCCTGGCCTTACCGGGGGCTTTGCCTGCATCCCCTTATACAGTCCTCAGACCAGGACTTTGAGGGTTCTATTGTTTGCCACCTTTCATAAATATAGATACTGAAATTCAGAGAGGAGAAGTAATTCATCCAAGGTCACCCAGCTGAGATGAGCAGAATTGAGATTCAAACTCAAGTCTGATCCCAAAACACTTATACCACCATCCGTATTGGGAGCTTTCAGAGAGAAATGAATTGAATTTGATGACCGTTTTCCACTTTTGAATACCAAACTTCCTGAGCAGTCTAATTGCTGCTGTTCGGATAAAGAAGTGACTATTTAAAAGAAGCAGGGGGCAGGCAGGAGGTCAAGAGAAAAGGGATTTTATTATCTCTATTGGTAAAGAAAGAGATGTAATACTAGGGGGAAAAAATAACATCAAAGGGAAGCCATTACATAAATTGGCAATGGGCTTAGGTTGATGAAGTTGCAAAGGAATGCAGAGAAGATAAGGGAGTAATGAATGCATACCACTGAAGATTGTCTAAATGGGAAAGGGAGGATCAGAAGTCACTGAAGGCAGTTAGAAGTTGGCCCAATTGAGGGTGAGGGTCTCTATGCATCTTGAAAGCTGGAAAGAGGCTGACAGGGCCCCAAAATGGCAACCAGAGATCCGTGTTCGTATTCCAGTCTGCCTGGGTGAGTTTGGGCAAGGAGCAGGCTCTGGAGCCAGACTGCTGGGTTTGAATCTTTTTCTTTGACTTTCTAGCTGGGTGACCCTGGACAAGTCACTTAACCTCTCTGGGCTTCAGTTTTCTCACCTGAACAATAAAGGTCATAATATTGCCCATTTCTCTGTGAGATGAGGTAAAGTGTTTAGTAGGACGCCAGGCATTTAGTAAGCATTCAAAAAAAAAAAGTGAGCAATTTTTGGTATTGCCGTGAGCATCATATTCACATGATGCAAAAAATAGGAGATTGTAAATCAGTAAAAAGGCTTGAAGAAATAAAGGATAAGAGGAGGTCAGGCAATAGGCTCACCTGCAGCCAAGAAGTAAAGGGATATGTTCTCTCTGCTGCCCCTGAGCATCAGGAGGAAAACACCAGATATGGGGAAAAGGCTGAATGGTGGGGGAGCTCAAATCTAGCAGGAGACTGAGATCTGGCTGGGCTTGATGGAGCATGAGAACCTGTTTCTATAAAATATGCTCTGACGGGAGCCAGAGGTTCTGCTGGTGGGTTCCACAGGTCTGGAGAATTGGGGATTAGCCAAAGTGCAGGAAAAGGGAGTATGGGGCAGAGAGAGGAAGGACGCTTGGGGCGATGCATCTTTGGATGCCAATCATCATTGAAAGCGTATTGGGAAGGGAGGACAGTTTTAATAAGCACATCTTTTTTTTTCTTACTATAAATCTATTTCCCTTTCATGGGTTACATTAAGAGACAAACCACAATTAAGTTGAAAGCAACAAAGTTTAATAAGGTGCTTATGAATATGTGAGTAGTCCTTTGCTTTTTCAGCCATCATTTATTTAGCACTTTCATTATGTCAGACTCTGGCTAGGTCCTGGAGACACAGGCTGTTCCCAAACTCGAGTCTCTATGTCCAGAATTCACAGCGTATTGTGTCATGGTTCCCAGCCCTCAGAATAAGCCATACAGAATTCAGAAATTCAGATGCTCAGGGTCTATCTCAGACCCACAGAATCTCCTGCAGTGGAATTAGGCACATGCATTTTTTTAGAATTGTATGTGTCATTTTTATGCTTATATCAACCTTGAGAGACTGGAGAGAAAAGTGTCCACATTTCATAGATGAGGAAGTTGGGGCTCAGAGAGGTTAAGTGATAAGCTTAGTCACACAGTGCAAGTGCAGTCAGACCGAAGGCTGCTGAATTTAAAATCCCAGGGCCTTTCCACTTGGCAGTGACCACCCTCCCAGGTATGCTTGGATGAAGCTCTGTGCAAGGCCATGCCAGTGAAAGGACCTGAGAATGTAGGTGAAAATGCACGAAACACTTGCCTGTTACAGCAAATGCTCAAAAAGCATTGGCAAGTCCTACCCAAGGTCCAGGGCCTTGTATTTAAAGTGGGCAGACCCCTGTAAAGGTCACAGGCTGGCTCACCACGAATCTCCCCCAAGGTGGGTCATGCAGCTTATATAGCACAAGCATCCTGTGGTTACATTCCCATCACATAACCCCAGTCCCCTGCTCTAGAAACTCTGGCTCTGCTTGTCCCCCAGCCTAGCAGGGATAGCGGCGTCCTGCTGTTGCTAATCTCTAGGGCACCTTGTTTGGTGTCTCAGCTTCTTCATCACCTGCATAACTGAGCCCCTGCACCACATGCCATCCTTATTCCAGGTTAGACCCTGACTGTTACACAGATGGAGACACCAAGGTGCGCACAAGTAACCGAGCCAGTGCAGCACAGTAATTCTTGACAGAGTTAGTATTCTAGGTCAGAAGTTCTGACTCCAGAGCTTAAGTTTTTAATCACTAACTTGTATTTAAGATGGTTAGTGAAATTCCTGGTGCCCAGTGCCAGGTGGCGATGGTGATAGAGATATGATGGCAACGCCTATGATGATGATGATTTGGCGCTGGTGATGGTGATTATGATGGTGGTGGTGGTGGTGATGACGGTGGTGCTGTTGATGGGGATGGTGGTGGTGGTGGTGGTGGCGCTGTTGATGGGGATGGTGGTGGTGGTGGT